GAGGTCACAATCATAACAGACCAATAGTTGTCAGAAGGGGATTTAAATTCCATCAATTAGCATCAAAGTATTTCATTGATCCAGGATAAATAGAAACATAGAAACTACTTTGTGGAAAAATGACAGAGACAATAATTATACTCGTAAATCATCCCTAAATAGAGCAGCAGTGGTATTCATTCAGATTGCCATCAATTAAAATTAATTGTAGTAAATAGGTATACTGTCTAAAAACAACATTTACTGGTCTGTTTTGCATTGAAGATGCAGTACCTCACCAAGAACAGTTATAGAGAAACCATTAGGCCTATATTGAGATTTTTTAATCAAAAATGGATTTCTACTCGGCTATCAATTTTACCATTTGAATATGGTGGTGGGAACTGAGAAGGATTTACCAGCAAGGAAGGAATTTTAGTTTAGCAAAAAAGGGAAAGTGGGGGGGGGGGGGTGTGGAAGGGTGAAAGAGGAAGTATTGTAAATGTTTACATAGAATGGAGGTAAAATTCAAAGGATCTTGATAATTGTTACAAATGCACACATTTGATTTGATTTGATTTGATTCAATTTCAGCAAAAAACAACAGTATACAAAGACAAAAAATGAACATAAAAATATACAAACGCAAAGGATTGTCAAAATCCTTTCCTTTGAATAATGTTCAATGAAAGAGTTAACATAACCAGTCCAGAGAATTATCATAGAGAATCTTTGGGGTCATCCATTATTTTCATCTTTTTCACGAGAGTATAAAACATACGCAGGGGGAAGGGGGTTGAAGGTGTGTGTGTACGCTTTTCAAAAAAAGCTGATCTTGAAAAAGATCAGCTAATTTTATCTCATTCTTTAGGCCATTATATAGAGAAAAAAATCAAAGACATAAGCAATATATTATTATATTCCAACAATATTAAGAACGCACTTTCGTACATACATTATTACGACATTGAACCAAAAACAGTCTGTATAATTTTATTTAATTGAAGGCTAGTTGGGATAAAGCATAGTTTGTCTGATTTGCCAACCTATATGCCTAGGTAGGTTCAGGCGC